GATTCATTCCCGACAGAGTCGAAGATCACTTGCCACTTGAAGCTCCTCGTGGTTCAATTTCATTCAAGATCAAGCATCAACGACCCTTAAAGAAATCACAAGTCCAACTCAAGATCAAGTGTCCACCACCCTTGAATCAAATTTAGCTCCAGATAAATGAGATAAATTTAGACTTTTGGAGGAAACCAGAAAACCCTCCAGCCCAGTTCAAGACCACGCCTGTGGAAAGTCAACAAGCACAACAAATGTGGTACTACTCATCAGGGAGAACATCCAAAAAAAAAAACAGATCAAGATTTTAAACAAGTCAATCGAAGACTTGTGGCCATCCAAGAAAGAGTGTTGTGAATAATATGTGGATGGCCCACATGAACAGTTTGTTACTATTCATGCACAGTATTTTCACTATTCATTTGTGGAAATTTTGTAAAGTGAATAATGTTGCTACAGTAATCTTTTTACTTATAAAATGAGAGCATACGGAGAAAAGCGAAAAAATAAAAAATAAAAAATAAAAAAAAGCTACAAGGCTCACAGCAAAGAGAGAAAGAAGAGAGGAGAAAATAGAGAGAGTTATCTTTGTAATATTATTATTCCAAATTATATATGAAAGCACCACTGTTGCCCCGAGAACGTACTCCAGTCACACCGACTGTAGAGGAATCTTGTAAATTTTGTATCTTATTTATTCCACTGCACATACCGCCGATTTTACAACAAAAGGGTTACTTTGTGTGTTATTTTTCCAGTCGTGTGTGTATATCAGTATATGGGCTCCCTTGTTCGGCTTTTTATTTTTATTTTTTTTTTGAATTATTCTCTTTTGATTCATGCTTCCATAGATCGTGCCCGAAATAAATAGGCTTGTTTGTATAACAGGCAAAACCAATAATTAGTAAATTATTTTCTTTTGCTGGAAGCTTCCCCAGATTGTGGCCCAAAATATTTAGCAAGTTGTTTGCTGCTTGTTTGGATAACAGACCAAGCAAATAATTAGCAAATTATGCTTTCTTGCTTCAAGCTTCAGATAGAAGGGAGCTAACAAACAAGCAACATTGCAGGTCTTTGCTGTTATAATCTTTGTGGTGCAGCGTTGTTGGCACTTCCTGTATACTAACAACTTTGCATATATAATATGTTTAGTTGTTGCTTTTATTGACTTTCTTTAAATAATTAGCAAGTTAGGTTAGTAAATGTTGTACATTGGTGGATATTTGGTTAGTAAATATTGTTTGGTGATCCTGATTATATTTTGATGCTTGTAGGTAATCATGACCTATTCACACTTGACTGGTCAGTATGTGGGTGGTATTGTACAATGGGTTGACAATTATACTAAAGATTATATGTCCAGGCTTGATCTGTATGAGGCTGCTACAGTGTTTGGGTATAATTAAGAGACTGCAAGTTTTTACTATTGGCATTTGGCACCAAATAAAGGTTTTTTTTTTGTGAATTGAATGCGATGTAGATGTGTTTCAGTGGGTTTCACTCATATCTCCTCAAGTTAGGCTGCATTTGTTATACTCGGTTGACTTAAGGAAAATCACAAACAATCCTGGGAGTGATGTGTGCAGCTTCTTTTGTTGATGTGGATGCTCAGTTTGAGGGGTTTAATGCGGATGATGAATATGAAGAAAATAAGAGTGTGGAGGTTGTTGGAGACACTATAGAAGAAATAGATGAAGAGGTTATAGATTCAGAAAAAGAGGAAGATAACAATGGGGTTACTTTTATATTCAAGGATTCTGACTATGAACAATTTGAGGAAGATGATGACAAAGGTGCAAAAAATGTAAAGGGAAATGACATCTTGTTTGATCAGATTATAGCAGGTGATTCTATTGAAGCCACCTTGCCATTGGAGTAGATCTTATTTCAGAACATTGGTAAAGTGTGATTTGTTATTGAATGAAATGTGTGAGTCATTTAGTTCTGCAATTTTAGATGCAAGAGATAAACTGATTATTACGATGTTACAAAGGATTCAAAAATATTTGATGTTGGCTAGGCTAAGATAAGCTAAGTGGACCCAACAAGTTGGACCTAGAATTTTAAAGATTGTTGAAAAAAATCAAATGGATGGTTTCAATAGTTTTGCCAATTATTCAGGGAATGATCAATATCAAGTGCATACTTTGGTTGGTAGTATGTTTGCAGTAGATTTGGAAAGGCATACTTGCTCTTGTAGGAAGTGGCAGCTATGTGGCATTCCTTGTCCCTATGCTATATCCGCAATTGCTAGGAAGGAGGCTAGTCCACAAGTGTTTGTTCACTCACTTTACAAAATGCCAGCTTATGATAGGTGTTATGAAGTGTATATTGCTCCTATGCCCAGAAAGAACAATGGAAGAGAACCTGTCTTAGGCCTATTAAACCCCTTTTTTACCACAAGCAACTTGGAAGACCTAAAGGCAAAAGAACAAAAGCACCAAAGAAGGCAACAATGCTAAGGAAATATGATGTTGTAATGCAATGCCAAACCTGTGCAGAGGAAGGACACAACAAAACAGGTTGTCCACAAAGGCTACTACAATCACAATAAGGTTTTGGACTCACAAAAGAGGTAATTTGATCAGCAAGGACTGTATTTATTTTGAGTGTTGTTATATATCACTTCTCTAGTCGCTAAGTGAACATAAATAATGTAGAGTCATGGGCAAACAATCAATACAAGCATATCTAAAGGGTCTAGCTCAAATGCAAATGAACCTAAAGCAGCAAAAGGAAATAACACAATAAGAGGTATTAACTCAAAAGCAAAGGATTGAGCACAATTGCAAAGGTAACTGTAAATTGGACTTGTATCAAATACTTATATTGTGTTTGACTCTACTATATACGTAGTTGTATGAAATTAATAATTGGGTATAAATGGTTTTGATGTAGGAAACTGGTATACATCACCACTTTGGGGCTGCTTCATCTCAAACTAGGTCATAAGGAACTTTTAAACTACATGTAATAACAAGAATCTATCTTTCTTAATTAAAAAAATAGTTGTTATAGATTAATTTTTGTTGTTTTGGGTTTGCTAACATTTTTGTTGCTTTCGTGTTGAATTGAAATAGGTGAACCGAGGTCAGAGACGGATCTACAGAGGGACCTGGGAGGTCCCAGGACCCCTCGACAATTCTAAAATGCTGCTAGAAATTTTCCGAAGGACCCCTCGTACTTGAACACGAGGCTTGTGCAGACTGTCTGTGCTGCAACAGCAGCAAGTTGCAGCTTGCAACGGAGAAGAAAGAAAACAGGGCATTTAAAAAAATTGGTCCAAAACGCAGTGTTTTGGCCAATTTGTTATTTTATTTATTTATTTATTTATTTATTTATTTTAAAACCAATGAGATAAACGTTGCAATTGGTCCACCGTTTGCAACATGATTCCATAATCTTTTTGAAAGTCTAGCCCCACATGGGCCATCTTTCTCGTCCCGAGAGTCCCTTTCGCTTCTCCTTTCCTCGTTCCACTGCTTTTTCCCCCTAATTCTCCCATCTTTCTTATTTTCACCCAAAACCCTAAATTTCTAATCCCACCCAATCCTATATTATAATTACATTACTCCAATATCATACCTCCACTTGTTTCAATTCTCACGGATCGAGATAGATCGGCACTTCAAGATCAACTTGATATTTACATTCATTTTGTGCGTTCTGATAATGATTTTTCTCAATTGCGGGGAATTAATGAGCTTGCTAAGAAAATGGTGGAGAAAGGGTTGCATCGAACATTTGCATATGTATATTTGCTTGTTCAGTTGGTTTTGGTTTTACCGGTTGCAACTGCTTCAGTGGAGAAGGCATTTTCCGCTATGAATATCAATAAGGGTCCACTTCGCAACAAAATAGGAGATCAATGGTCGAGTGACAGCTTAGTTGTTTACATTGAGAAAGATGTTTTTTCATGTATTGGTAATGAAGCTATCATGGAACATTTTCAGACTATGAAACCTCGTTGTGGACGCTTGAATTAGGATTTTATAGCTTGTAATGTTGTTTTGCACATGATTTTTGAATGAAATGTATTATATTTAACTTTTCAATGTTATTTTTGTCTATAAATTTTTTAACCTTTATTATTGGGACCCCCCGAGTTTAAAATCCTGGATCCGCCACTGACCGAGGTGGTCGTGTGAATCAAGTCACAAGGACAGCTAATGAAATGGCATCACAACCCCAACATGTTCCCGAAAAAGCAAGACCATGGAGAGTGTAACCATGATGTGTTGCAGGACCTTTTGTACTGTTAATGAAAACCTTTGGTGTTGAGATTAAGTTGTTCTTTTAATAGGATTATGCTGCAGAACTATAAATTTGATAGGTTTTATTGATTTTGGCAATAGGTGCAAGTCTATTGCATATTTTTTGTGGATGTTGTTAAACTTTATTAAAGCACTCAAAATACAAAACTAATTGTAGTAAGAATCGTTAATTTCATTTTGGTAAACTGGGTGCAAAGCTAATATTTTGCAATTGCTAATTAAAGTTCTATGGCTAATTTAGACAAAATTGTACGGAATGAACTAGCGGAAGAGAAGAAGAAAAATAGAATGTCTACATTATGGATAAAATTACTTTTTTACCCTAAAAGAATTGGCTTGTGCCGTGCATGTGACCAAGTTGGATGGAAAATTCTCAAATCTAATATCAAGAGGGTAAATTGGTCAATTACAAAAGTTCATGGGGGTAATTGGCTAAAATTAAAGTTCAAGGGGAAAATTGGCAGCTTCTTACAAGTTCAGGGGGAAAACAACTTAGTGAAGCGTTTGAGATAGTATCGAACAAAGAAACAGGAATATAAAAATAATAATAATTAATTCTCTTTTTCTGTTTTTTTTTTCTTTTTTCTTTTTCTTTTTCTTTTTGTCTTTTCCTTTTTCTTTTTCTTTTTTCGGAACGCTTTTCTTTTTTAGTCCCGGTGAAGCTGAATCCCTTTGTTTTTTTGTCTTCAGTGGTGTAATACAAATACTAGGGATGCCTCGAGTTTTTTTAAGTGGCTGATTTGTTATCAGAAACGAACATACACAAATATGAACTTTGGCTGCACTATGTGCTCATAGCTTAATATGAAGATTGCCCAAAAAATCAATCCGTGAGTATTAATTTTTTCTTACTAGTTTGATCTAACATATGTTCAATTGACATAAATTTAGATTTCATAAATTTACAGATTGAAGATGACACGCACAGTTGTCCCTAGTCCAATTGTCCATGAACTTCTAAACAAAAATAACTATGAAGAATGGAGTTTGCAAGTTAAAACCTATATGTTGGCAGAAGATCTTTGGGACGTTGTAGAAGCCACCACTAAGCCCCCCGAACAAGAAGATGATGAAGTTGAATTTAAAGCTTGGAGGAAGAGTAATGCCAAGGCTTTGCACTCCATCCAGATTTCTTGTGGGGTTGATACTTTTTCTTTTATTATGGGCGCCAGCGCGGCCAAAGTTGCCTGGGATATTTTGGCAAAAGAGTTGAAGCCAGCTAAAGCATCCCAAGCCACAGGAACCGGTATGTGTACCTTCGCCTTTTCCATATAATTAGGCATTTGTCTTTGGAATTAACTTGGATCCTCACATGACGATGGAAAGTTTATTATCAAAATACTTTGTGATTGATTTACAAAATTTTATGCTTGTGATCAAAATTGTTAATGTTATAAATCACTTGGTAATTAAAGATTCTTTTTGTAAAATTAATAAAATATGAGATCATTTGATCATTGAACTGTCTAAAAACAGATGGTTAAATTCAATACAAGCGTTACAAACCATCTATATCTATATGCAACAATTGATTGACCAACAACCTTAGAATTAATTGATTTTCTACAAAAATGATTTTTATTGAATGATTTATAATTTGAACGATTTTTATCATAAGCACGAACTGTGAATCAATGACGAAGTGTTTTTTCAAATTTTTTTATGAGGAACTCCTCAACTTTGAGGTTCCAAACATACATCTTTGCCTTTTTGTCGTACTGTATACAAAGTGTAGGGAGCCCGATTTATTTGGCCTTCCAAAAGGAAAAGCCACTAATAGTTGACATTTTGTTTTTGTTCATATTCATTAAAAAGAGAGACGTCTTTTTTTTTTTGTCAATAAAAAGAGAGACATAAATTGTGTGAGTACTGTCAGTTTTGGCTTCGGCCTGGTTCTTTTCAGTTGAATAAGATCTATCCCTAATAGAATAGTTCAATTTAAACTACAGCAAAACTAAGATTGGAAGAAGAAGAAATATATTTCCCAATAGAGAATGATGGGATATAAACATAAATGATTTTATTTTTCAGGGGAGATATCCAACGATCACACGAATAACAACCCAAAGATTGTTGAGGCAGAGCCAGAGAATGATGTCATAAAAGAATTGCCCCATGAAGGTATTATGTCTCAATTCTTATAAAGATTTCCATTCAATATTTATTAATTAAACTTCTACTTCTACATTGTTATTTGCACTGTAAAATAATCACTTCTTTTGCTTTTTTCATGGAGAAAACTAAAATGCACAATGCCATTGACTTTGAATTCCTATCAACAGTTGCAATTTACAAAGAAAAAGAGACGGTATTCAATGGTAAAATAGAACAAAAGTAGTTTATATATACAATAAAATGAAGAAGAATAAGAAAAATACGTAAGAAGTATTAGTCTATATGTTTTTGTTTTGGTGATGAGGGTAACAACTATATGTTACGTACATTATGGGGATATATATAACGTTAGCTAGCTTGGCAGGAGACGAAGACAACCAAGTTAATCAAACTATTACGGATTTCATGAGGAGGGGTGAGTTTGATGCTGCGATGGGGCTTCTTAAGCTAAATCCTGAGGCAGTAACTGCGATAATTAGGGAAGATGAGACTATTCTTCACTGGGCAGTCTCTTTTAAGAAGCTGGACATTGCAAAAGAATTGGTGCACTTAATGAGACCAGAAGACTTGGAAATACAAGACTCTGAGGGTCTTACTGCTCTTCATCGTGTTATATTGGATATTCCAGAAAGCGTCGAACTAGCCAAATGCATGGTTGAAAAGAACAAGAAGTTACTCAGAATTGTCCTTCCTTACCAGAAAACCATCCCACTTTTGGCCGGCAAAATTACCCCACTTATTCAGGTTCATTGTCGTCTTCGTGGAGGAGAAAAAATGGCTCAATACCTTTATTCCGTCACTCCGCACGAAACACTGAACGATTCCGAACGCGCTGCGCTTATTATCCACGGTCTTATGTTAAAAAGATTTGGTAAGATCAACATTCAAATGATAATTATTATTAGTGGCGCCTTAATTTCTTTTACTTGTGTACATTCTATAAAACCGTTGTATATTAAAATGTTGAGACTAATCTAATTTTATACTAGATCTATAGAGGTTATTTCTAAACACTTCACAATATGTAGATATTGCGTGGAATTTAATTCAGCGTTGCCCGGAGTCAGTCATTGCTAAAAATTTTTACGGGAGAACACCTTTAAATGAACTAGCTGGTATGCGTTCTGCATTCTTAAGTGGAAGCTCGCTCAATTTCTGGGAACAATGGATTTATGACGGTTAGTAATGCTTTCCATTTTCTCTTCATTTTAAATTTTGTCCTAATTAAGCTTTCTATTTTCTTTTATTCTTATGAGACGCAGCAATAGAAAATTCTTAGTTCAAGGAACTAGTTTATATCACTTATTGATATATAAGTGGGCTTGTGTTCTTATCTTGAAAGGCATACAAATAAAACCAATTGAGGAACCTATTCCTACCATTGATGATGCTGTTTTTATAAACGTTCCAAAATCGGAAGATGGCAACCAGAGTAATAAAAGGCAAAGGCATCTCATTTGCTCAGGTACGTATGTTACATGACAGACGTGCCATTTTTTTTTTTGTTAATGTTTAGTTGTTTCATACATTAAGGTACCACAACTATATATAAATCAATTAGCAAGCATATTTTAGGAAAAGCCCTTATATTTCAAGATAAACCCATTGACCATATTTTAGGAGAAGCCTTTATTCTTGAAGTGAAATTGGCAAGGTCAATCTCCCTATTGGTTCTGTATATATCATTTTTATTTTCCCTTTTTATTTAACTTGATTTATAGATCCATCTGGATGCTTCTTCTTTTTTATTTTTTTTATTTTTTTGTTCACTCCTACGGTCCTACTACTATAGTATCTACCTCGATAATGGATATGCAGGAGGTCATTTTCTTCATATTTACCTCTTTTCTAACTTGGTTTCAAATGATGGTGGGGCTTATCTTCTATCAACATACATATCAAGTCTTGGTCTTATATTTTTATCCATTGTAACCTATTAATTAATATATCATTTTATGTTGCAATTTATGTTTTTAAATACAACTATGTATTACAAGTAGACACTTATTTATAAGTCATATAATAATTTAATTAAATTTGAATAAAATTGCTTAGGCCCTGTAGTCCAACTAGCGGCTTTTAAAACATTGGTCAAAGCTGTCAAATCTAGTGGTACTAAAAGTTTGATTAGGGCTGGGCACGGGCCGGGCCGGGCCCAAATTTGGAAGAACCGGACCTACCCGTTTTAAAATGTAACGGGCCGGGCCGGGCCGGGTGTAGGGATTTTAAGTTTGGGAACCGGACCTAACCCTGCCCGTATCAAACGGGCCGGTTCGGGACGGGTCCACGGGTCCAATAACTTTTTTTTTTTTTTTTTAATCTGGTTATGGGCATACTAAGATTGAAGCAGAATGAGGTGTGGTTCCAGTGCTGATGAAAAGGAAGAAGCTTGTAGAACCAAATAGCAGAATGAGGTTATGTGCATACCAAGTAGAATTGCTTATACGAAACCCCTGTCAAATTTGAGGATACACAAAAGAACCAGGAAAGAAGCAACTAGGAAAGGTATCAGTAGTTTTACGAAACCCCTGTCAATGGAAATCAATATTTGTTTCACAACATGATGCAATTTCTCTCACATAACTGTCAATTCAATAGTATCATCAGTGCGTCTTAAACTCTCGAAACAACAGACAAACCAAGCACCAAAACTAGAAGATAATTGTCACATGGAATGGTTAACATTTGTGCCTTGTCCACACAAGATACTCATCCAACCAAAATTCATCACTCTTTCAAATCATAAACCTCGAAGATCAAATACATCTTACTTCCTATTCGATTTCCTAGTGTAGCTTTGCTCATAGAATAAGTACGCTATATCGTACACTATATTCAACATGATTCAAAGAACACGAGAAATGATATAGCGAGATCCCAACATCTCAAAGAAGCAAACTTTTATCCTAATAGTCCTCTTACCATCTTTCACCAAAACACCCAAACTAACAAATCACACAATTAGAATTAGATAAAGAGATTCTAAATCGAAATTAGCACAAATGCTGAAGACCATTACCGTGGTGTCCTTGACTTGCAGCAGCATGCAAGGGATCAAACCCGGACCGGTTCTTCTTCGTAACGGTCTCCCGATTCGAATATTTCAACAGCTCCTTAACCACATCAAGGTGCCCTTTATCCGCCGCCGTGAACAAAGCCGTATCTCCCAGCTCATTGACCTCATTCACTACCGCCGCCCGAACCTCAGCCACCTCCGTATCAAACTCCGCACCGCTAACTGTCCCCACAATCTGCGAATCGATATTGTCGAGAATCTTCTTCACGGCGGCTAGATCCGCACGCTGAGCCGCCAAGTGGAGCTCCGTGTCGTTGTGCCGCCCGGTGACCTGCTTCAAGTACTTCTTCTTCCCCGCCTGGTCCATCCGCTTTCCGGAGTTGGAAAGCACCAAAGCCGGCGCCGACGTCGTGGAAGACGGAGACGGCGACGGCGATGGCTCCGCCAGAGAGTTCTGGTTTGGCTGTGCAGTCATCGGACCCTTCTCTAAATCCCCATCACCTCCTACAAGTGAACACTGAAGTCGTGTCGTGTCGGAGAAGGTGGACGGAGGAGCGGCGCTGCGAATTTGAGAAAGGGTTGGAGTGTTGGAGAGATTGAGATTTGAGACTGAACACTGAAGTCTGAAACTGATTTGGAAACCTAGGTTACAAATTAACGGTTCAGATTGAATGATAGGTTATCATTCAATCTCAACCGTTGATTATAATATGAAACGGGCCGGTCCGGGGCCCCGTTTTTCTAAGGTGTAGGAACCGGCCCGCCCCGTAAATAACCATGCCCCGGCCCGCCCCGCCCCGTTTGTTCCCAAAAAAAAAGGGACCCGGCCCTTACCCGCCCTGAACCTACACTACCCGCCCCTACCCGCGGTTCCTTTACCCGTTTGCCCACCCCTAAGTTTGATTATTGTGGTTGTTTTGGAATTATTCAAAATATTTATGGAGTTTGGAACCCTTTTGCCTTTTTATTAAAATCGATATTCTACACTCATCTAAACTAAGTAGAAAAAGAGAGTTTAAACCTGGGACTGAGTGGATTGAAGAAAAATGTCTAATCACCAGGGCAATCCACCACCTACTTAGGTCTTTTATATGTGGGTTAGAGTTGTTGATTTTGGTTTCAAAGAAACTCACCTCCAACAACTGTAAAAATGTGCAGGCACAAGGAGGCTATTTACACAATATTGATTTTGATTTTGAAGAAACTCATCGCATTTTTGTATCATATTAAGTAATGTTAAAGAGATCAAATTTTTGTATCATTTTATATGGTTTAAACGGGGATATAACCTTTTCTTTTCCTTTCCTTTCTTTTTTTGATAAAAAAGGGATATAACTAATTGGTAATGGATTTGGATCCTCTTCTGAGCCCAAGAGGAGGATCCTCTTGACCAAACATTGTGGGCTGTTGGATTTTTATCCAACGGATACAAACAGGAGGGTCCCTTTAAAGTTTATCCCACAATGCTTGGTCAGGAGAGGATCCAAGTCCATTGGTAATTGAAGACTTTACTGACAATTTGGAATTTCAATGCAGATACGAGTTTATTTCGTGGACTAGTGGTCAAGACCTTCGGTAAACTTTTGGGTACGCTACATTATGAATTGATTTCTATGGAAATTCATTCCACACATTCTTTTTAGTCTTTTATTATATTCTCTTACACATCTTTGTTTAATTTTGGTCGTTGATTTTGTTTGTTTTATTCAATTTAATGTCCATATATAAATAGGGGTGTGTGAAAAACTTAAAAGGGTGTGTAAAAATCACTTTTCTTTTCTTTTCCTATTTATTGTCTTTATAATTTTTAATTACTTTCTTTTAATTTTTTTTTTCAATTATTTTCTAATTCTATATACATAATTAAGGGTATATTGTTTGATTTGCTTTGAATGTTAATGTAGGATTCGATCGTATATATCAAATGAAATTGGTCCATGTTCGGATCCTTAAATTTCTAGCACACATGTGTGAAGTGACAAAAAAGAAAGATGTCAAAGAATTGCAAGGCTTGGAAGCAGCAATGTTCCTAGCAATAAAAAGAGGACATGTGGAGTATATTACTCATTTATACAGAGCAAATTATAACCTCCGTCAAATCACCAATGAAAAAGGCCGGAACATCTTTCAATTTGCAGCTGAATGTCGTCAACATAAAGTTTTTAGTCTATTATATGGACTACATGAAAACAACCGGGAATGGTTCGTAAGTTGGAAAGATAAGTCGAGAAATAACATGTTGCATGTGGTAGGAACTATTTCCTCCGCCGCACAGATTAATCTTATTCGAGGTGCAGCTTTGCAAATGCAAAGGGAACTGCAATGGTTCAAGGTGACTACTTATATATAGAATTAATTATATATTATACTTATAAAATCTAGGTTATTATATAAGCGACTACTTAATCATATTCGTGAAAATTGATGATGGAACCCCTCCTTTCTCCTATTCACCATCTTCTCTCTAGTATAAAATTGAAATTTATAAGGAAATCAGAAGTTATTTTATTTATTTGTGGTCCATTCTTTCATAACGTGAACTGAAAATACCTTGAGACTTGGCCATAAGGATTTGTACCAAGAGATAAGAATTACTCTTCGGATGTATATAGTCACATCTGTTCTAAGTTTTTGTTGAATGACATGCAGGAGGTGGAACGTTTTGCACAGCCCGTAGATCATGAAGTAATAAATAAAACGGATGAGATGACACCACGTGAATTATTTACCAAGGGTCACAAGGACTTGGTGAAAGAGGGTGAAAAGGCAATGAAAGGTACAGCAACATCTTGTACAGTCGTAGGGGCTCTCATCGTTACTATCATGTTTGCTGCAGCGTTTACGGTTCCTGGTGGAAATAAACAAGATACAGGTCTTCCTATGTTCTTAAGTCAAAGGGCATTCATAACTTTTATAGTTTCAGATGTTATATCACTCTTTTCTTCCACAACTTCAGTAATGATATTTTTGGGAATCCTCACATCGCGTTATGCTGAAGATGATTTCCTGAAATCATTGCCAACAAAAATGATATTAGGCCTTATCACCCTTTTTTTATCTATCGCCACCATGATGATAGCTTTTTCTTCAGCCCTTTCCATTATGCTTCATGGAAAATCATCTATTGTTATTCTAGTTACTTTGCTTGCAAGTGTTCCAGTTGCATCTTTCATATGGATGCAATTTCCCCTCCTTCTTGAGTTAGTCATTTCTACTTACGGAGCAGGAGTGTTTGATAGCAAAATAAAGGATTGGCCTCGTGAAGACCCCAAATACTCGGTCTCGTGTTAACGTGATTATAAATTATGCTTATTAGTTTTGGAGTTGCTATAATTTTTTTATTATTTTATTATTTTTTATTTTATTATTATTATTATTATTATTATTATTATTATTATTATTTTATGCTTGTAATGAAATGTTGTTTGGATCATGTATAATAAAACCAAATCCACCCTGGTTGTAACGAAAAGACATTAATGTACGTGTTTGAACATTTAGCCTTCGTATTGCATCCATTCTTCTTTTGAATGTGACATTTTACTGCAGTAGCAGAAAGTAATTATGTCTATACATTTTGATGCCGGTTAGAATGAATGATGACTTTTTTGAAATGCTAGCTTGGCAGCTCTCAACACACAGAAGTAAAATTGACTGTCATAGATTGGTTAACAAAAGAAAATGGATTTTTATATCAAATGCACCAGCAGCTACGTATTATATATTTGGGTGAACTGTCAATTTAATCCCTAAATTATCACTTGAGTGAAAATTAGGTTCCTAAACTATTTTTTTCAGAAAAAATCAGTCATTGAATTATAAAAATATACCAATTACATCCTTAATAGAGTAAATTGTAGCAATGGTCCCTCAACTTTAACTCAATTGAAGCAATGGTCCCTCAACTAAAAATCCATTACCATTGGTCACTCAACTCATCAAAACATCCAGCTATGATCCCTCAACTAAAAATCTATTACCATTGGTCCCTCAACTTTGATCCAACTAGAGAAATAGTCCCTCAACTTTAACCCAATTGGAGCAATGATCCCTTAGCTTTAACCCAACTGTAGCAATGGTCCTTCCAACATAACTCACTTTGGACAAAATTTAGACGAATTTGACGAAAATGATCATATCTACACGTTTTGATGAGTTGATGGACCCTCAATTCATCTAGACGTTAGATCCGCAACCTATATGAAATGTTAAGGGCTTATAGGCGAAAAAATAACGGTATTACACTCTAAGTATGTCAAGTGACTTAAGTTCACGAAAAATTAGATAAATTACCTTCGAATGTAATAATAGAGATGAAATTAACAATTTTTAATGAATTTAGAAACTTATTTTAACAAAAATCTAATTCATAAATCTAATTTTCACTGAGGTGAATGACTAAATTGTTGGAACTGAACTAGGTCACTAAGAGTTTTGAGAATGCAAAGTATGAAAGCACTGGTATACTCGGGAGAATTCTTATTTACTTGAAACAAACAACTTCGGCTATTAAATAGCCTTACATCAAACAGGAAATCAAATAACAACCCACGATTATTCAGGACCTAAAATCGTGGTGAGCAACTAGATTAAAACAGAAAACAACTTGTCCCTCAAGTATAGGAGGGTTATTAGCACGTCCAGGAATAAAGCCTAGAATAAAGGAACCCTAACAACTAGACTTTTGACTATTTCAACATCCTCCCTTAAACTGAATACCATTGATATTTAGTTTATTCCAGGGTATTCACGAACACCTATTAACTCTCGCATCTTCAAAAACACTTCAAGCTTTAACGGCTTTGTCATGATGTCTGCAGTCTGTTCTTGAGTAGAACACTGTAACAGCTCCACAACTCTATCTTTGACAAGATCTCGAAGGAAATGAAACCGAACATCTATGTGTTTACTGCGACCATGCATTACCGGATTCTTTGAAAGTTTAATGGTTGAGACATTATCACAATAAACTACTGTTGGACCACTTTCCCTCAAACTTAAACTCCCCAGAATTCTTCTTAACCACACCACTTGACATGCACTTGAAGCTGCAGCTATAAACTCTGCTTCAGTAGTAGAGAGAGTAACCACTGGTTGTTTCTTCGAAGACCACGAAACTGCACCTGAATTCATCATAAAAACATAACCTGAAGTGCTTTTTCTGTCATCTTGATCACCGGCATAGTCACTGTCCGTGTAGCCAATAAGCTCTTCATCTCCTCCCTTCTTGTAAAACACCCAAAAACCAGTGGTGCCTTTCACGTACCTTAAAATCCTTTTAGCTGCCATTAGATGAGTCTCAGTAGGATGCTCCATATACCTACTAATCAAACTTACAGTGAACATAAGATCAGGACATGTAGCTGTTAAGTACATGAGACTTCCTACCATCTGTTTATAAAGCGTGCTATCAACATTCACCCCTTCTTCATCACGAGTTAGTTTAAAGCCAGGAACAACAGGGTTGTGCACTAAGTTGCATTGATCCATATTAAACCTTTCTAACACTTCCTGTGCATACTTTCGTTGACTGATGAATATTCCATCCGTTGTCTGCACCACTTATATGCCAAGAAAGTACCTCATTTGTCCGAGATCAGTTATGTCAAACTCATCCATCATGGACCTTTTAAATTGCTCAAACAATGACTCATCATTTCCAGTGAATATAAGATCATCAACATAGAGGCATACAATTAAGTTTTTACCTTCATTTGTTGCCTTAATGAACAGTGTATGCTCGTAGGGACATTTATTGAAACCTTCCTTGATGAAGTACGACTCTATTCGACTGTACCATACCCGTGGAGCCTGCTTGAGTCTATAGAGTGCCTTATTGAGACGATATACCTTGGACTCACTCCCTTTATGTTCATAACCAGGTGGTTGTTCAACAAACACTTCCTCATCAATTGCATCGTGCAAAAAAGCTGATTTGACGTCGAGTTGGTAAATCTTCCAACTTTTTTGTGCAACAAGAGAAATGACCACTCGTATTGTATCCAGTTGAGCCACTGGTGCAAACACCTCAGAGAAATCAACTCCATATTGTTGACTATATCCCTTTGCAACAAGCCAAGCCTTATACTTGTCAACCTCCCCATTTTCATTCAGTTTTGTCTTGAAAACCCACTTCACTCCAATAGTTTTTCCCCCCGATGGCAAATCAGTCAACTCCCACGTATCATTCTTCTCTATAGCTTATATTTCTCGATCCATTGCTTGTCTCCACTTCTCACTCTTCACGGCATCGTAATAAGTTGTTGGATCACCATTAGTAAACAAGGCTAGGTGAGCCAAGTTTACACTTTCTTCATCAGCGAGACCTTTACCAGTTTCATAATCTCTCATCCAGATTGGTGGTCTTCGAGTTCGTCCTTCTTGAGATGCACTGCCTTCAACCGTGACTTCTCCTACTTCAAATGAATCGTTACCATGAGACTCATTGGTTCCCATATCTTCAATAGCTCCAGATCCTTCTTCATCTTCTATGATTGTTTCTTCATCAGTTTCCCATTCAAGATCAGTTAAGATAGCCTGCTCATGAATGTCATCCCAATTCCATTGTTCATCTTCCTCAAAAACCACATCTCGACTTACAATAATTTTTTGTGATATGGGATCAAACAGTCTATAAGCTTTAGATTCCTCACTTACCCCTAACAGTATGCATTTGAGGCTTTTGTCATCAAGTTTCACTCTTTTGCTATCAAGTACATGCACGTGAAATACACATCCAAAAACTCTAAAGTGATCCACCGATGGTTTGTGCCCACTCTAAGCTTCTTCAAGTGTCTTGCTTTTTACGGCAAGAGTTGGACTTCGATTCAATATATGCACTGCCCAGTTCACTGCTTTGGGCCAGAAAGTTTTTGGAATTTGCTTCTCTAATAGCATGCACCAAACCATATTCATGATAGTTCGATTCTTCCTTTCAGCTACGCCGTTTTGTTGAGGTGTGTAGGCAGCCGTCAACTGTCTGTGAATGCCATTCTCACTACAGAAACTTGTGAATTCATGTGACGTGAATTCACCTCCTCGATCTGTCTTTAAGCCTCTTATGAACGCTCATGTTTCCTTCTCCACTCTAGCTTTATAAGTTTTGAATGTAGCAAAGGCTTCTGATTTCTCCACCAGAAAATAAACCCACGTTCTTCTACTAAAATCATCAATAAAAGTGATGAGATACCTCTTCTTGCTATTTGAGACTGGACTTATCGGGCCACATATGTCAGCATGTATCAATTGTAATATCTTGGAGGCTCTCCATATACTTTCCCGTGGAAAAGAGTCAGGTGCTGTTTTCCCACAAGACAATCTTCACACACTTTCTGAGACGCTCTGAACTTTGGTAACCCTTCAACCATATTCCTTTGTTGCAGCACTTTCAGTCTATTCCAGGTCAAATGCCCATACCGACAGTGCCAAAGAGTTGCTTGATCAGTGGTTGTCATGGTGAGACTTTTTTGTTCCTTCAGTGAGCAACGAACAACCAAGGCAAACATCCTATTGCACGTCATCTCAGTCTCAAGAATTAGACCTTTCTCAGGATGAAAGATCTTGCACTTTCCATGTTGCATGAGCACAGCAAGTCCCCTCTCTTGAAGTTGACCAATGCTCAACAGATTATTCTTTAACTCAGGTACAAAGAAGACTCCTGTAACAACATGCACGATCCCATGCACCTCTATTCGCACCTTGCCCTTGCCCTTCACACTGAGACTGGAGTCATTTCCTAGCTTTACTGATTCTCTGATACTGTCATCCATCTCGATAAATACTTCATCACTGCCACTCATATGATTACTACATCCAGAATCCAGGAACCAATTGTACTTTTTCTCAGTTCCCTTAACATCCACTTGCGCCATCAGCAACATTTCTTCCTTTGTTTCTGCAAAATTCGCCTGTGAACCACTAGCTTTCTTTGGACATTCCCACTGAAAATGCCCTAGCTCATGATAGTTGTAGCATTCAATGATAGATTTGTCGAACCCAAATCTACCTCTTCCTCTTTCTCTTCCACGGTATGAGCCACGACCACCGCCTCTTCCTCCTTGTTGAATTCCAGAAGTGACTTGAAGAGCTTATTCATCCACAACTTGCCGACTGACTCTTTGTTCATGCACAAGAAGACTGCTCTGGAGTTCATCAATGGATAAAGCATCCAAGTCATTCGACTCTTCAATCGAGCAAACAACATAATCATATTTTGAAGTCATGGACCTCAAAATTTTTTCAATAATTACCACATCCTCCATTCTTTCTCCATGAAGCCTCATCTTATTGGCTATAACAAGCGTTCTTCCAAAATAGTCATTCACAGTTTCTCCAGCCTTCATATGCAGTA